ATCTAATTTTTTAATTATTTTTTTTTAAATCCTTATTACTTTCCATTACACTTACTTGGTTGCATTTCACTGCATAGAAAAATCACTATAAAGATTTTTGCGATTTTCCTCATATCTTCATTTGAATACATTTTTAATTTATTTTGTTAATTTAATTAATTTTTTATTTTTATAAGGACTTTTTTTAAATGTTTACTACTTAAATTTTCAACAACAAAAAATTATGCCCAAAATTTGCTTTACTTAAACACTCTGCTCAAATTTAAGGTCAACAACTAATTAAACTTGAGGTAAATTTATTATTAAAAGAAACCTTCGATGGATTTGCAAAAAAATTAATACTACAATATTGTTTGTTGTCGTTCGTGTATAAAGTTTGTGTCCGATATTGATAAAGACTAAAAGAAATTTAAAATAAAAAAAATATTTTTAAATGTTAGAATGTTATCAGCAAAAATACTATAAACTCTTATAATAAGTAATAATAGACTTTTGAAGACGACTACATACATATAAATATTTTCTTCCATTCAAATTTACTTTCAGACCTTACCGTAATACGAACTGGGACTTTTTATGCAAAGTTTAACAAAACCCTTACCATCATACATTTGATTATTTAAAACCGATAGATATTATTTACTTTTATATATCGATTTTATTATTTTTTTATAACAACTTAGCCAACTGTTTCTAATGCTTGTTTTACTTCAAGTAGCTCCTTTTTGTATTGTTGTTAGAAAATTTTATAATTCTTTTATAATTTTATACTGATAATTACTTTGTTTACCTTTTCATTTATGCTTTGTTTTCTTAAATACACTTTTAAACATATTTATTAAAATATATTCTTTGTTGTTATTTTCAGAAGCGTGCCTCATCGCTAAAAAGGTAAATAAACCAAAATCATTTATATTTTATTCAAATTGCACTTTGTATGTTTTGAGTCTAGTTTTTTTTTTTTTTTTTTTTTTGTTATAAAAAATTAGGTTAAAGAATAAAATAATATATTTTTTTTTTTTTTTAGACTTCAAAGCCTATTTACTCAGCCTATGCGTAATATTTTAATCTGAATAGACGATAACTGAAATCTTGTTTAAATTTTACGAATGTTAAGGGCACGAGCGGTAGTGCTAATTGATTTGACACGTGGAATAGATAAGATAGACGTATTATATAACAATGGATAGGAAATTGTATTTACTGTATAAAAATACTAATGCGGCTCAGCCTTCGTTGCAAGCCCTTGATGAGACATGTGGACTTTTCAAGCAAAGAACTATGTATATACACTCAGACAAAAATGTGTACAACGACGCCATCTAACAGATCATTTTATAACTTACCGGGAACACTTCTCAAGATCCCTTGAATATAGATAGATTGATTAATGGATAGATAGATAGATAGATAGATAGATAGATAGATAGATAGATAGATAGATAGATAGATAGATAGATAGATAGATAGATAGATAGATAGATAGATAGATAGATAGATAGATAGATAGATAGATAGATAGATAGATAGATAGATAGATAGATAGATAGATAGATAGATAGATAGATAGATAGATAGATAGATAGATAGATAGATAGATAGATAGATAGATAGATAGATAGATAGATAGATAGATAGATAGATAGATAGAGATAGATAGATAGATAGATAGATAGATAGATAGATAGATAGATAGATAGATAGATAGATAGATAGATAGATAGATAGATAGATAGATAGATAGATTGATAGATAGATAGATAGATAGATAAATAGATAGATAGATAGAGAGATAGATAGATAGATAGATAGATAGATAGATAGATAGATAGATAGATAGATAGATAGATAGATAGATAGATAAATAGATATATAGATAGATAGATAGATAGATAGATAGATAGATAGATAGATAGATAGATAGATAGATAGATAGATAGATAGATAGATAGATAGATAGATAGATAGATAGATAGATATATAGATATATAGATAGATAGATAGATAGATAGATAGATAGATAGATAGATAGATAGATAGATAGATAGATAGATAGATAGAGAGATAGATAGATAGATAGATAGATAGATAGATAGATAGATAGATAGATAGATAGATAGATAGATAGATAGATAGATAGATAGATAGATAGATAGATAGATAGATAGATAGATAGATAGATAGATAGATAGATAGATAGATAGATAGATAGATAGATAGATAGATAGATAGATAGATAGATAGATAGATAGATAGATAGATAGATAGATAGATAGATAGATAGATAGATAGATAGATAAATAGATAGATAGATAGATAGATAGATAGATAGATAGATAGATAGATAGATAGATAGATAGATAGATAGATAGATAGAAATAATTGAAAATGTTTAATGGAACTAATCGGCAAACTGTAGAAATCCTACAATATATCAGCCATTAAAATGTCTGACAAGTTTTATTTTATTGTTTTATTAGATTTTTATAATTTTTCTATATTTCAGTTATCAAATATTTACTTCCATTGATCACGACTGCAATAAACTTTATTATTTAAATTCTTTTATAATTTTATGATCACTGCAAGTCGAACACTTCAATTGTCTATACGTCTGCAATTCACATTTTACAATAGAAAATACCCGATTAGAAAACTAGATGTGGACTTTATGATTACAATGATCTAAGGTTTCAGATTTCCTGTTACACTTTATAACAAACTCTTTTTAATAATTACACAGGCCAACGATGAAAAAAATAACTAACGTAATTGTGAGTTTTAATCTTCATTATATAGCGTATTCGATGTCATTTTGCGAGAAAAGTGATAGAGGTGATAGAGAAATACAGATATCAAATTCGGTTTCAGCAGATTAAAAATGCATTAAAATCAATAAAATTGATTTCAAAAGCTTTTATAAACCTTAATTTTGTTGGTCTGTGTAATTATTGGGGGGTATTGGTATTATAACAGAAGTTTGTATTAGTAGCTTTCTGAATTGTATTCAAGGTACTTAAGTAAATTCCTGTTATTAAATCTATAACTATAGCAATCAAAATTATTATAATCTCCTATGGAATTTTTTATACAATAAAATTTATTATCTCATAACAAAATTTTCTAAATTTAGCTAAAACTACTTAAAAATATTTTAAATTTAAAGTAATGAATGAAAATGCGTACAAATACAAATCAATCTATTTACGTCGTTGAATGTTTATATTTGGGCTTTCCAAGATAAGAAATATGTAGGTATATACATATATCAAAAGAACACCTCGGTCTACTATGCTAAGGTTTGTTCGGGTTTTATGTGTTGGTTGCTTTCTTTAAAACCCAATGTTCCGGATTTCATTAAATACTCAATATTTATTATATCTAAATTTTGGCTTTTGTCGAAATCTCGATTTTTTTAACTATAATGAAGCATTAACATCCAGATATGTTTCTAACATTTTTGTCGAAATCTAGTTGTTTTTAAAATATTCCACCAAATCCGTATTTTTCATTAAATTTCATAAAATTTGTTATATATTTCAACAAAATCGCTATAAACAAATTATTTTTAAAAGTCTAGATTGAATCAACGCACCCAAAATATTTGTCCAAAATATGGATTTCCCTTTAAAATGAAAATGTTTTTTGAATTTCAAAGTTTCATTCAGTCCAATTTGACACTTCACCTATTTCACCGAAACATGAATTCTCATTCAACATCTATATTTCCCGAATTTCTTTCAAATCTCGATTTTCTGAATTGTTCAGCCAAATTCGTATTTTTCCATTTCAATATTTCTACAAAATCTCAATGTTTTTCAAAAATCTGTCTTAATTTTTCACCAGAACTTCGACATTTCACCAAAATCTCGCTTTTTTTACTAAAATTTTTCTCGATTTTTCACTAAAATTTAAAAATGTTTTCACCAGAATCTCGTAATTTCAATAGGTATTTATATAAAAATCTATGATATTAACCGAATTTCAATATTTTTTTAATTTGAGAATATTGTCTAAAAAGCCGTTGAATATTTAGCTGTTTTGATTATATTCTTCAATTTTCAAAAATATTAATGTGAATTGTATAATATTTATAAAAATCGATTGGATATTGTTGGGGTTTAAAAAACTTGAATTTAAAACATTTTGAAATTTGAATTCCTTAATTTTTAAATTAATTTGAGCAAACGATCTGTCCGTACCACTGTCATTACTGTTTAAATTAAGCTTTAATCCGAAAAGCTTTTTGTTAAGCTTTTTTTAACGGAAAATTAAGAAAATAAAGTTTATTTACTGCAAACGTAACGTGGGCCGATTAGAGAATGTGACTGTACCCAGCAAAAACTTACATTGAAAAGTAAAGGGTTAAAATGCTGAAATTTACTTACACAATAGCATTTAAAGTTATTATTTTAACACAGGGATGACATTGGAGGCAAGTACTTACCACGGTCGCTTACAAATAGGGAGTAAAGTAAGTACATAGTTTTGTTTCTAAGAAAAAAATATCTACGAGGATAAGTCCACTGCGTCTACTATTAGTTTTCACAAAAACTATTTTTTTCGTTTGTGTTAAAAACAAATTTCGAAAACAATATGTCATCACTGACAAGTAAGTACTTACATAATGTATTATTTATAAGTCATTACTAGATTCCTATGTAATGCATACGGTATGTAGTAGTCATTGAAAAGTATGTTGTTGAGAAAGTACAAGTCATTACCATGTTTATACTGGGTATATAAAAGTATAAGACAGAAATGACAAATTATGAATTCTCCTAGTTCCAAACATATTACTTTTCTTCTCGTCGGATTATACTCAGGCTACATTTTTGGTAAATTTGTAGTTATTTTTTTAAAAATAAAATTTGGTATCAACTTCCAAGTTTTTTTTCTTAAATGGTAAACAATCAATGTAGTAATCAGACTTGATTATTCCATTTAAAAAATAGCAATTTTTGGGTGAATTTAACATTTTCGTCTTATAGGAAAGAAATGAATATATTCACTAATTTTTATTACTACTTATTTATTTATTTACTCATTTCATTTCACTATAAACAAAATTAAATACCAACATTAAACTAACTAAAAATACTGAACAACTTAAACCCGAAACACCATTGCTACCAGGAGCAAATTTTGGCAAAGTACCATTATTAAAAGCTGTTTCATTTAATATCCAATTTTTAAAAAAAGCTACATCCGTATAAACACCAGGATTTCTAGGTTGAGCACAACCTTGACCCCATGAAATAACACCAGCTTGACGACCCAAACATACCAAAGGACCACCAGAATCACCTTGACAAGCATCTTTTTCACCTTGCAAATAACCGGCACAAATCATACCGTCATGTATCGCCGAACCATATTCGGTTTTTTTACGACAATCATTTACATCTATAATGGGCAAATCCACAGTTCTGAGGAAGTCGGGAGGATAACCCTATTATAAAATATATTAGATAAGGATATATAATGTTCTATGTAGAAAAACTTACATCTTCGGTATTACCCCAACCGGTAGCCTGACATATGGTATTATTAGCCAAAGGTGCATCATTGAGTATTATTGGCCTAATGGTGGGATGTCTAGCAGGTACTGTACCATTTAACATTATTAGGACTATATCATCGTCAAAGGTGCTTAAATTAAATTGTGGGACTTTTTTTACTATTTTTATTATATCAAATACTAGGGTATTGTTGTTGTATTCAAAACGATCAAGATTTCCCATGACCACAATGAAATCTTCGTCTGGTAAAAATGTACCATCAGGTTCAGCCATATTGTAACTAAAAGAGAGCGGAAATGAAAAATAATATTATAAGTAAATATTTATGTAAACTTGTTTTAAATTATCTTATCAAAATGTTTTAAGTATTAACTTTTTCAGGAAGACATTTCCCTACTTAAGTGTGTGTTGAAAATTTACTTAAGTTTCCAAATAACTATAAAACATATTTCGAATACTTTTCTAAAACTGTCACCTTTCCGAACAATATAACTTTACGATTTGAACAAAAAAATTATCTTCAATTCAACGGAAAATTTATGTTTTAATATAGACCCAGAATAAGATGAAACTTCCAAAAAAAAATTTTAAAATTTCGAATTTTTAGAACTACAAAATTTTAGCAAAATCTCAAGGTTTTAGTGGAATTTGCATTTTCAACCTTGATGTCTCATAAAACCCATTTTTTCATAAAAGTCTAGATCGATCTTTCACTAAAAACAAATTTTCATCTAAAAATGGGACTTTCACCAAAAATCTAGATTTTTAAATGGCAGTAACATAGTTGAATCCCAACCGATTTTAAGTTTCTGAACGGATTTAGAAGCTGAGGCCTTTATAATGCGGTTCCTATATAAAATACTTTGAAAAAACTTTAAAAACTGTGCAAAGCTAAAATCAAAAACATATATGCCATTTCTACGATATTACTTTCCGACCCTTTAAATTATATATTGTTATTCTGGATCCTTTTGGAGTCTATATGTCTGTTCTTCTGCAGTTTTGTTGAAATCAATTTTCTGAAAACCCCAAATATCTTCTGGATCCAAATATTAAATAATTCTGTTAGACATGCTTCCGAGAAGATAGATATTTAAAATCAGCAAAATCGCTCCATAAATAATGGAGATATGAGCACAAATCAGAGAAAACCTCTGAAATTTTAATAAAAAATTTAAAATCGTGGTACCAAGAACTCTTTCTTGGTACTTTTTCCTTCTTTAACAGGTATTATATTAAGAATCTATAAGAGAGAACTTTTTGCTACTTTTTCTTTCTTCTTTTTTATTATTTAACATGTAAGAAAGTATAGTCGGGCGTGGCCGACCATATGATACCCTACACCAGTTATGAATATTAAATGTGATTTATTTTTCATAATAAAGCATTTATCATCAATATTCCCTTGTTCCGATACATTTAAGCAATTTATGGATGAAAAACTTATTTTCTGAAAGAGGCTTTATATGGGGGCTAGGGGCAAATATGGACCAAGCCCGATAAAATTTTGTGAATATATTTATATTTATATAATATTTTATTGTGCTGAATTTCATCGCGATATTTGTGTTTATAAGTTAATTTCGGACATTCAAGTAATTTTCTGAAGGGGACTTTGTATGGGAGCTAGGGTCAAATTGGGCCCGATCTTTATCAAATTGGGCCCGATCTTTATCAAATTTGGCAGGGTCATCAGGACTTCTATAAAACTTAGTTATGCCGTATGGGGCTAGGTGAAATAATGGACCGATTTTAACCATTTTCAATAGGCTTCGTCCTTGGGTCAAATAAAACGTGCATGCCAAATTTCATCCAATTATCTTGAAAATTGCGACCTGTACCTTGCGCACAAGGTTTACATGGACAGCCAGCCAGCCAGACGGACGGACGGACGGACATAGCTTAATCGACTCAGAAGCCGATTGGTATACTTTAAGGTGGGTCTAGGACGAATATTTTTGTATGTTACAAACATCAGCACAAATCCAATATACCCTCCCCAATAAAGTGGTGTAGGGTATAAAAATAACATTCAGAGCCGTGAGAGCGTGAAAATCTGTAGGAAAGGATTTTTGTACTTTTCGTTCTTTAAGAGAAAATGTTTCTACAATATTGATCATATAGGAGTCTAATGTATTGAAACTCAAGAATAATTATTTTTGATACTTTTTCGTTCTTTAACTGGTACTATTTGAAAATTTTATAATATTGAACCTAAAAACCAAAGTTAACTTTCTGGTACTTTTTGTGGTACTCCAATTCCATGCGCTCTCAGTGGACGCTCTTATTTCGGGTGTGCAACGAAATTTTGAGATCTGATAAGTATTTGCAATTGTAGACACACTAGAACACTAACTACTAACCTACCGTAGGAACACAGAATATCAATTTAGTTTCAATAGAAACTTAGAAATGTTGTGTAAACATTTCAATCCAAATTTAACTAAAAACCTAATTGTCTGCCCCACTTCTTTTCTCTCTAAATTACTTACTTCACAAAACAATGAGCAGCACTTAAGACCACATTTTCGGAAATCAAAGCTCCACCGCATATATGACCAGTACCAAAGAAATAGCCATCATTCAAACGACGTCTAACAGAGACTTGATGCATAGTTGCATTCAAAGTGGCCTCAGTGCCATTGATAATTCTGGGATCTGTGGGTTTAGCAGATTTCAAAAAATCCAAAGGAGAAGTGCCAGCCACTGAAATTTGTTAAAAAAATATATATAAAAATGTATTGAATTTTAAAATAATTATTTAATACTCACATATGCCATTAATTTGCAATAGCAATACAAAACTCAAAACCAAAATCCAAGATAAATTCCATTTAAACATTTTGAAAATGATTTTCTCCTTTAACCGTAGAAATGTGTTATAACAAAATCGTGTTGCTCGGTTAAAGGTTGGCAACTAATAAACGTTAAAAGAGACGAAATATTTTAATCGTCTGAACAAATTAATCAACTGCTATATATAAATAATAATAATATTAAATATAAGTACTTATTTATATTAATATTGTTTTTTATTAAAATGATATTTTGCTTGCCTATCTTTTTTTTTTTTTTTTTTTTTGCTTTCCAAACAATCAAAATAAATTGATATGATATTTTACCCGTTATATTTACTATTACATTTAGTAGGAGAGTCGAATATTTTCAAATTTTAACATCCATAAAATAATCTAATCTCAAGAACGAGTAAGTACTCGTAACAATTTTTAGTTTGTTGTTACTGTGAAAACTCCTTGTCTTGTTTTGTTTTTTATTTATGATAGATTTGTACCTGTACTAGACTTGTTGTAGTTATTTGGTCTAATTGGAATTACCAATATAGGTTTTTACGCTGATTTTTTTTCATTCTTTTTTTTTATATAAATGTTGCCAAAAACGTTCCCTATTTGAAGTGATTTTATTGATAAGAATTTAAAACAAAAATCCCATACTATACAAGATACGGTTTTCATTGGAATTAATTAGGTTTTAATTTATTGTTTTATGGGATTAATTGAAAGTAAGTGGCAATTGTGTTTAAAAATTGTGGAAGAGCAGAACTTTTTCAAAAAATATTGAATTGAAAAGTATGGGAGTGTAAAATTCAGCTTCATAAAATGGATAGATAGATAGATAGATAGATAGATAGATAGATAGATAGGATAGATCATAGATAGATAGATAGATAGATAGATAGATAGATAGATCGATAGATACGATAGCTAGATAGCTAGATAGATAGATAGCTAGATAGCGATCGCAGATAGCTCGCTCGGCCGCTCTCGCTCGCTAGCTCGCTCGATCGCTCGCTCGCTCGCTCGCTCGCTCGCTCGCTCTCGCTCGCTCGCTCGCTCGCTCGCTCGCTCGCTCGCTCGCTCGCTCGCTCGCTCGCTCGCTCGCTCGCTCGCTCGCTCGCTCGCTCGCTCGCTCGCTCGCTCGCTCGCTCGCTCGCTCGCTCGCTCGCTCGCTCGCTCGCTCGCTCGCTCGCTCGCTCGCTCGCTCGCTCGCTCGCTCGCTCGCTCGCTCGCTCGCTCGCTCGCTCGCTCGCTCGCTCGCTCGCTCGCTCCTCGCTCGCTCGCTCGCTCGCTCCGCTCGCTCGCTCGCTCGCTCGCTCGCTCGCTCGCTCGCTCGCTCGCTCGCTCGCTCGCTCGCTCGCTCGCTCGCTCGCTCGCTCGCTCGCTCGCTCGCTCGCTCCTCGCTCGCTCGCTCGCTCGCTCGCTCGCTCGCTCGCTCGCTCGCTCGCTCGCTCGCTCGCTCGCTCGCTCGCTCGCTCGCTCGCTCGCTCGCTCGCTCGCTCGCTCGCTCGCTCGCTCGCTAGCTCGCTCGCTCGCTCCTCGCTCGCTCGCTCGCTCGCTCAGCTCGCTCGCTCGCTCGCTCGCTCGCTAGCTCCTCGCTCGCTCGCTCGCTCGGTCGCTCGGTCGCTCGCTCGCTCGCTCGCTCGCTCCTCGCTCGCTCCTCGCTCGCTCGCTCGCTCGCTCGCTCGCTCGCTCGCTCGCTCGCTCGCTCGCTCGCTCCTCGCTCGCTCGCTCGCTCGCTCGCTCGCTCGCTCGCTCGCTCTCGCTCGCTCGTCGCTCTCTCGCCTCTCGCTCGCTCCTCGCTCGCTCTCTCGCTCGCTCGCTCGCTCGCTCGCTCGCTCGCTCGCTCGCTCGCTCGCTCGCTCGCTCGCTCGCTCGCTCGCTCGCTCGCTCGCTCGCTCGCTCGCTCGCTCGCTCGCTCGCTCGCTCGCTCGCTCGCTCGCTCGCTCGCTCGTCGCTCGCTCTCTCGCTCGCTCGCTCGCTCGCTCGCTCGCTCGCTCGCTCGCTCGCTCGCTCGCTCGCTCGCTCGCTCGCTCCCTCGCTCGCTCGCTCGCCGCTCGCTCGCTCTCTCGCTCGCTCTCCTTGCGTTCCCTGCCCTTGCGTTTGAATTAAAATGAAAAGCATGTCCCATACGGAACTAAGTGACCCAACATTTAAAAACCGATGTCTTTCAAATAAATTTGCACTAATGTTAGTGATATTAGATAGTAGTTCAGATACAAATTTTCAACAAAATCGACCAAGCTCCTTCTGAGTGACAGATATCTTTTGTTACAAAATTAGGCTTAGGTTAAAGAAGAATCACACAAGTACGTATGTATGTAATTCACAGTCAAAACACTAAGATTTTCAAAGAAATAACATTCAAAACAATTAAATCGATAGCGTGATAATGCAACGTATTGACCGCCCACGTTACACCATCCGGCAAGTGTTATTACTACATAACTTTATTTTCTTAATAAAATATGTTGGGCTCATTATGCCCAGTTATTATACCTCTAATTCTAGAAGTTTTTTCAGTGTGCTTTTATCTTTTTCATCGATATCGAGATGAATTATTCCAGAATGTATCCGATTCGATTTCAAACTTATAACTTATATTCCTATAAAAGGCCAGGATAGACATTCGCACATGATGTGTTCAAGTCCATATCTGCTCCGGCTCGATATTATGACCTTGTACCCAGCACAGATTCTACGCTTATTTTTCATTAAGAACCTGTAACTCTCTTCGATAACGGTTGACTACCTTAGATCCAATAATTCTATTAGATAGGGCCTTCATAGCATCTTGGTTCAGAAGATAAACATATTTTCTGAAATCAAAAATAACCGATTTTGAATTGAAAAAGAATTCAAAATAGTGCAAATGCTAAATGCTAAAAGAGTTCTTGTCCGATCGAAAGACATCGGTTTCAGAAGTTGTGTATGTCAAGTGACACAACAAAATCCCCCATATGGATATATTCTTAATTTTAATTTTAAAATGTTTTGGAACCATCCCATCCTTCAACCACTAAAGGATTGCACCATGACTATATTGTTAACAATTTTCCAACCAGGTTATTGCGCAAAAAACGTGCAATAACCTCTTTAAATTATTTAATTTTAATTAAAAAAGAAAAATTTCGCATGAATTGCTAAATTCGTCATCATTATCTTATCAATAGAAAATAAATTTTCATTTATATTTAACTATTGAATAATGTAAAGTACTTATAACAAAAATATCCAATATCAAGACATAAAAAATGCATCTAAAGATTGCAATAAATCAGTTTAAAATCAGAATATGACTGATTGTCAATCATTTAGTTTAAATCGAGAAAATATGAACTTAATTAAATTAAATTTATTATTTTTAAGTTATCTATTACAAGGTCTTGAAATTAAAGCCGACTTAGAGTCACGCGTTATAAATGGTCAAGAAGTAAAATGGAATAGTACACGCTATCAAGTGTCCGTACGTTTAGAGCTAATTGATCGTTATTTTTTCGGTATTGGTCATTTGTGTGGTGGCAGTATTATTGGACGTAATACTATACTAACCTCAGCTCATTGTATATGGAAGTGAGTGGGCCCTTTAACAAATTTTTTTTAATATTGTGTTAAACGTTTTTTTAATGATTAGTGCCGCCAACAATAGTTTCTATCCTGCTAGTACATTTTCCGTGGTAATGGGAAATTTGGATAAAACTTTAAATAATGAAAACTCACTTAAGTTTAGTGTTACGAAAATAATAACTGGTACAAATTACAATTATGATACTTTTCAAGATGATTTGGCTATAATGTTTCTAGAGAAATCGATACCGAAAAATTATACACGAGCAGAAGTCATTAAATTAAATGATAATATGAACTTGACATATAATAAAAACTGTATTGTAACCGGTTGGGGTTTAACGGAGAAAGTAAGTTTCTAAAATAATTACTATATAATTTAAATCAGTTCATATTTTTAGTCCTCCGTTAATATTAACTTCATCTTTTTCCCTAGAACACATACCCGAAAAATCTTATGTTTGTTGAAGTTCCCCTGGTTAATAGAGAAACCTGTACGATAAATTATGGTACCGAGAACCTACTGGATGGCATGTTATGTGCCGGTTATATGAAGGGTGAAATTGATGCTTGTTCTGGTGACTCGGGTGGTCCTTTAGTTTGTGATAATAAACTTGTGGGTATTGTGTCATTTGGCTTGGGATGTGCTATACCCGGTTATCCAGGTGTTTACACTAATGTGGCCTATTATTACGATTGGATACGTAAACAAGCCGGTTTGTCGCGAAATAGTAACAAGTTGATTATGGATTTAGTAGCTATGGATAATACAACCATCACTGGAAATTCTACGAATAAATTTTGTGGCAATATTTTTATAATTATTTGCTTGATTTTTATTAACTTTATTAAAAATAAATTGTTATGTTAAAATTTCCTTAAAAATTTAGGGAACGATCAAAACGGGCCTGGGGATTTACATTGAAAGCACAGAAATCACTACTGTAGCTTCCATAAAGAGATCTCTGTTATAATAGGGATTGGAATAAATATGGCGCCAAGAAAGATGAACATAGTTTCCAATAGCCAGCGCGATCATAGTTGATAATAAGGTAAAATTTAAAACCATTTTGGTTTTAAAATCCATAAGCAATAAAATGAATGCAAAACCGTTTGAGGCAACTAGGGCTGAATTGAAAACATGGACGAGCGGATCCTTTACGACTACAAAGATATTGGGCAATACGAATGGATTGAGACGAATGTAGAGCGTACGAAGTGGAAAGTGATACGTCTATTTATGTCTAAATGAATTTCCTCTAGAAGTCTGAGTGGAACATTTTAAGAAACTACGTCCAGGAAACTGAGTTTTCGAATATCGGACGATAATACTTTCATAGATTACTAAATATGTTTTTTTTCCATAAATATTTTCCATGCAAATGAACGCAGCCCATGCTCTATAGTGGCCTAGATGTATTTCTTCGGATCTACCAACCTAAATTAGCCTAAAAACCGACCGATCTTGGGATTTAGTATCATAATTTACATGACCGATAGAAACATGATTTACGGACCGATCTTGGGATTTAGTATCATGATTTACATGAGGTTTTAATTTTTAATTAATTTTCGGAATAAGGCAATATGTAGTAAAATCTAGGTCCTATAACGGACCGAATTTGGAAAAGGTGATTGTTAAAAAAATTATAATATCGAATTTGATCGCAATATCGAAATTAATTCGAAACTTATAATTTCTTAGAAAATCTTTGGTACTCAATCAATATAGATCAACAATAGATTTAATTTTTGAATGTTTGTTTTATGGGTGTAGAGTTATTTATAGACCGATCTTCTTTAAGCTATCAGAGCTTATGTCCAATGTCATCGTCATAATATTAACTAAACTAAAGACATTATACGGAGCCTAAGCTCAAGATCGTTTAAAACTAAAAACATATTGTTCTGAAATTTCTGATAACCATGTATCATGATTTACATGAGGTTTTAATTTTTAATTAATTTTCGGAATAAGGCAATATGTAGTAAAATCTAGGTCCTATAACGGACCGAATTTGGAAAAGGTGATTGTTAAAAAAATTATAATATCGAATTTGATCGCAATATCGAAATTAATTCGAAACTTATAATTTCTTAGAAAATCTTTGGTACTCAATCAATATAGATCAACAATAGATTTAATTTTTGAATGTTTGTTTTATGGGTGTAGAGTTATTTATAGACCGATCTTCTTTAAGCTATCAGAGCTTATGTCCAATGTCATCGTCATAATATTAACTAAACTAAAGACATTATACGGAGCCTAAGCTCAAGATCGTTTAAAACTAAAAACATATTGTTCTGAAATTTCTGATAACCATAATAAAAAAAATAAAATTCTTAATGCATAATCAAACTAATTTATTATAGAAAATATAATAAACTAACAATTACAAAAATATTAAAATAATTAATTAAAACTAAACTTCTAGCGCTATTGCTATAGAGAGTATAATTTAAAGTCTTATTTTGTACGACAATCCAATCATAAAACGCACTAACATTTGTATAAACTCCCGGTTTATCGGCTAAGGCACAGCCCTCACCCCACGACACTACGCCTGTTAGTAGACCATTGCAAACTAAAGGTCCACCCGAATCACCTTGGCAAGCATCCACGCCACCCATAGACATATAACCGGCACAAATCATAGATAGGGGAATATAACCATAACTGTTGCGACATTGTTCATAGGATATAATGGGTACGATGGCAGCCCAAAGATTTACCGACAGTTGTCCCTTTAAGAAATAAAAATAATAATAGTGTTCAGTGATAATAATATTTAAACTCATATCACTTAATGAATATTTCAATAGGTTTCACTTACATTTCCCATATCACCCCATCCACTAATTTTACACATACTAACAGCTGCTGTTTGTTGCGTATTAAGCTGTATCGCCTTTACGGTGGACCAATTCCAGGGTATATAACCATTTATGAATAACAAAGCTATATCATTGATAAAAGTTGTGGCATTATATCTATAATGTGAGATAATTTGTTGAACATTATATTGTAATTGCTGAGGGTCGGGCAGTAGACGATTAGCATTTCCCATTACCACTGTAAAATCATTGGCAACATATCTGTATTTAAAAAATGAATTATTAATAGTAATTATTTGTATTTTTCTTGGACATACTTATGTACACAGTGAGCTGCTGTTAAAATCAATCGCTGTCCAATTACGGATCCACCACAAATATGACCTTGACCAAAACCTCGGGATTTTTCTCTTGCTTTAACTCTTAGGGATACTTGATAACTGGCTTCGTAAATGCTAATTGGATAACCTCCTACGATTTTACTTTCTTTAGCGGGTTCAGCATCTGAAAAAGTTGCAAAATAGATTTTAATTTGGAACAAGTTTAGGAAAAATAAACACACTGTTTAATTCGTCTACTGCGAATCTTATATATCCCATATTTTATGTATATTTTTGGATTTTGGATATTTTTCTAGATTATGCCAGTCTTATGTACGAACATTTGTAAGATTTCCATTAATTGTGGACTAGAGGTGTATTCGGCTCACCAATGTACCTACTGTTATCAGGTCCCAACGGAAACTGTTGCCCGTGGACTGCATCTTTCTGTAGTTCCGAATTATATTTCGGAAATTTATACATCTATCTATCTATCTATCTATCTATCTATCTATCTATCTATCTATCTATCTATCTATCTATCTATCTATCTATCTATCTATCTATCTATCTATCTATCTATCTATCTATCTATCTATCTATCTATCTATCTATCTATCTATCTATCTATCTATCTACCTATCTATCTATCTATCTATCTATCTATCTATCTATCTATCTATCTATCTATCTATCTATCTATCTATCTATCTATCTATCTATCTATCTATCTATCTATCTATCTATCTATCTATCTATCTATCTATCTATCTATCTATCTATCTATCTATCTATCTATCTATCTATCTATCTATCTATCTATCTATCTATCTATCTATCTATCTATCTATCTATCTATCTATCTATCTATCTATCTACTATCTATCTATCTATCTATCTATCTATCTATCTATCTATCTATCTATCTATCTATCTATCTATCTATCTATCTATCTATCTATCTATCTATCTATCTATCTATCTATCTATCTACCTATCTATCTATCTATCTATCTATCTATCTATCTATCTATCTATCTATCTATCTATCTATCTATCTATCTATCTATCTATCTATCTATCTATCTATCTATCTATCTATCTATCTACCTATCTATCTATCTATCTATCTATCTATCTATCTATCTATCTATCTATCTATCTATAGATTTTGAAATTTATATGAATTTTCTAATACAGATTTATTACCTCAATTATGTTTTCAACTGTATAAAGTTTTATGACCTCAGACAAGTACCTCAAGTATTTCATCATTATAATAATTTGAAACTCTATCCATAAGTGTTTCCATAATTATCGTTACTGTTATCAATTTACCTGAACACAATACTAATTGTTAATACTAGTTCAAGTTCATAATGTTGTAATATTCGAACATTACATTACGTTTATAACCACTATGATTTATTTATAGTTATTATTTATTAAACGATAACAGAAAATTATGTTATCGATTTTTAAGTATTAATTTTTATGTGAGTGAACGATTAGATATGATTTTCAAGTACAGTGTTAAATATACATATAAAACATTCGCTGGGTTACTATTGTTCCTACTTACATGTATATTAACGGACATATAAAGGATCTAATATTTTGATTAAAATAATAATCATTTTTCTTTTTAATTTCGCCAATTTCATTTAAAATAAAATATGTATCTACCATTTTTTTCTTGTTATTGATTAAAATTAAATTTCTTTGCAAAGTTGTTTAAAAAATTTTTATTTATACATACATATGTATATCAATGACATCTAATATTTATAAATTAGCACAAAAAGAGATAAGACAATCTTTAGTTTTGTGAATTTTTATGATATGATACGATTTTTATTTATTTAAATAGAAAATAATATGACGCGGCCATTATCATTTATTAACTTGTTTGTAAATTAAGAAAAATGTCGGCAAATTAATTATTAAGAATTGAATATTGAAAAAATTTTGTGATTCTGCACCTAATAATTTATATGACAAAGGGAAATAAATTATATTTTTTATGTAAATATTTTTCATTTCACTTTTATTCATAATAAAACTTTATTATATTTATGTTACTATTCTATGTAACAGGGTATTTCAATGTTAAGTGTTAATTATGGCGAAGTTCAAAAGTAGTTTAAAAAAATCTTATATATGTATGTATGTATGTCTGTATGTATGTATGTATGTATGTAGTTATGTATTATGTAATGTATGTATTTGTATGTATGTATGTAATGTATTGTAATGTATGTATGTATGTATGTATGTAAGTTGTATGTATGTATGTATGTATGTATTATTGTACTGTATGTATGTATGTATGTAATGTATGTAATGTATGTATGTATTTATGTTGTATGTAAATGTTTTATGTATGTATGTCTGTATTTCTGTTGTATGTGTATGTCTGTCTGTCTGTCTGTCTGTCTGTCTGTCTGCCTGTGTGTCTGTCTGTCTGCATGTGTCTGTCTGTCTGTCTGTCTGTCTGTCTGTCTGTCTGTCTGTCTGTCTGTCTGTCTGTCTGTCTGTCTGTCTGTCTGTTTCTGTCTGTCTGTCTGTCTGTCTGTCTGTCTGTCTTCTGTCTGTCTGTCTGTCTGTATGTCTGTCTGTCTGTCTGTCTGTCTGTCTGTCTGTCTGTCTGTGTCTGTCTGTCTGTCTGTCTGTCGTCTGTCTGTCTGTCTGTCTGTTGTGTGTGTGTGGTGTGTCTGTTCTGTCTGTATGTATTTCTTTCTCCCTGTATGTTGTTTCGCGCTCTTCCTGTACTATCGCTAGTGTAACTTATAGACTTATAGTCTGTTCTTTATATAGTCTTGAGGATTGACTCGCCTACTATTCTATGTACTAGTCTATTGACTTGCATTTGGACTAGTCTATTGACTAATCTATTAAATAGTTTATGGGTTTATCTATAGACTAGTCAATGACTACTTTCTTAGCCTAGTCTATGGACTAGGCTATTGCCTACCAAATTGATTAGCCTATGTTCTAGTCTATTAACTACTCTATGAATCAGTCTTTGCACTAGTCTATTTACTAATCTATTGACTAGCATATGGATTTATCTATAGTCAATGACTAGTTTGTGGACTATTCTATTGACTAATCTATGGACCAGGTATGGTCTAGTCTATGGACTAGTCTAGGGACTTGTCTATTAACTAGTCTGTGGACTAACCTGTTGACTAATCTATTGACTAGTCTATGGTCATGCATATGAACTAGTCTATGGACTAGTCTATTTAATAGTCTATGGACTAATCTATTGACTAGTCTATGAACTAGTCTATGGACTTGTCTATCGACTAGTCTATAGATTTGTCAATGACTAGGCTATATACAGTTTTTTTAATAAAATATTATTGCAGTTCTCTCAAATGGCTAGCTTCCCTTCTTC